TTTGCATTAGTCGTGGTCGACCTAGTCAATTGATATAAATTGAAACACACCACCAATGTGCTCGCCATAAATTGAATAGCAATAGTAAACCTGAACTTTTCATTAACCGTAAGAGCAAAGCTGCAATTAAATACAGTTAATTGTTTCAAAATCTGCGAATCCAAATGACAGGCTACATTGACATCTTCATTAACACGGCATTACTAATATTTTTGTATAGCGTCAACTACATTTCTATATATAAATACAAACTCAAAAATACGATTGTGTTGCAGAATGCATTCATGAAGAATATCAGGCTCATGTGCTATTCTTCTCAAACGAGATTCCAGTATTTCAATTTGGCAGCAAATGTGCACCAATAGTCCACAAATCAGGCCGTCGCAAGCAACTTGAAGGACGGATCCGATTATCAAACTTATCAGTTGGTGAGCATACGTGATGTAAAATAAAACTGGCGATGAATAATCATACGGTAACCAGGCTCTGAATGTCAATGTCCGTCTTCTGAAGTCCGTGAGTAACGACGTTAACGTAATGCACACGCAAGTCGTCTCAACCAGAATTGCATAATGTATCGTGGTTGCTCTGCAAAATAGCTGTAGACATTGTCGCGTTTCATTTGTAATTCAGTCTATCACTTAATATCAATTTACTATTTTTTCTTAATATGTAATGTTTCTTAATATTCTTAATATGTAATTTTAGTAGGTAATATTAGAATATTATTGTATTTTTTAAATTATAATATTGTACATATTTTAATTTACTACTTAGAGATATAAAATGTGAACAATATCGACCAGAAATATTAAAATCTCTAGTTTTTATTTTAAAATTATATCGTATATTTCGTATAACTAAGCAGTTAATTTAATTATAATTATAAAATTATTTGGCATTTTCAAGGTACTTACTGCATGCCCTTATCAAATTTGTAATAAATTTCCATTTCTTTTGATTCCAATGGTCTACATGGTTTCTCCGTAAGAATATTGGTTAACATTGCAATATTTTTGCGATTTACCAACATACTAAACATTTTACAACAAACGACGGTCGTTGTAAGTAACATGTAAAAATTATCGGTGAAGTCGTCTGCATTGTCCACGGTAAGAATAATATCCAGTAATTGTGATAAGGTAAATGTGTTTACTAACACAAGCACGAAAAATGTATGTACATGGTAGATTACGCGTTTATATGATGACGTCCAGGAATCCGGTACCCAGCAACCACAGAATGTTAAAATTTTAAGTGTAAAATCTAACACGCGCATTGTAACTTTCTCCGTCTATTTCCCGTATGTGACGAAAGATACGTTCAACATATATCTCTTTCCATTTATTTCGAAGACAATGTCGCAGATAAGCATATTACATAATTATTTATCGTAAATTAATTTACAGATAAATTATATACACTACGTTATGTAAACTAGCAATTAAAATACTTAGCTATCGAAAAATTATCACTCGACAAAATATCTTTGATTACAGTAACGTCAAAATCGTTTCTACAGTGGTATAGCTCGCAATAAAAGCTTTGAAGAGACTGACGATGTTATCGAATGTCTATAGCCACGCAATTTTCTGACGAAGATATTCTCTGCCTCCCTTTGTGAATCAAGATTTTTATTATTCAAATTGTACAACTGTGTTCCTCAGATAATTTTGTCATATATCAAGTAGAGAAAAATGCAATCGTTAGATATAAGTCTCATATTACTATGACATGTAGCTCTATGAAAATAAAATCATGAATAAAATAATATCTTACGAAGTACACTTGAGAATAAAGAATAAAAGTCCTCGATCACAGTCGTGAATAATTAAGTATATTTCTTTTACCGAAAAATTGTTTTACTTCAAGCTGATTGTATGATAAGTGGCAGTAGCGGCAGTAGCGAAAATCTTCTCTCTTTATGTTGACTGCTCTATTTCTTCAAATAGTAAAATTTTAAATATTTATAATATATACATGATTTTTAAAACACAAGTGATTGAACAAATCCTCACAAACATAATAACAATTTAACAAACATATTAAACATATTAAAAATCAGACCGTTGACATATATATAAACCGTGAGTAAAAGTTTTAAAGTATTATAAAGATATTGTCTATAAATGGTGCGCACAAGAGGAAATATTGTATAACATATGAGATATCTTTTTATCTAGTAATTTTATTTAATACACAAATTATTGATTATGATATTCTAACTTAATGTTTTACTTTTATATACACATTTGTTTCGTACAAAGATAACGTTTATACAAATATAAATATTAATTTTCTTCTATTTTCGTATTTTTACTATTTTATTATCGTATTTGTTGAAGTAGATTATACGCAGAATATAATGTAATGTCTTGAGTAACTTCAATAAATAAAATTATTTGCTTACGTACTTGTATTATAAATTAATAATAACCAATTTATTATAAATTAACAATTTATTTCTAACAACACAAACAATTTAACTGTAACATAAAACGCTAAAAAAGTTAGGTTTAACTTAATCATATATTCTATTTTAAATCGATTTACTGCATATTTATGTTTAAATGCAAAAAAACTTCATTTAGGCTATTATATAATATAAAATCAATCACTAATTTTAGATTAAAAATCAATTTTTATACTAACACTGACAAATGATTCAAGATTCACAGAAATAATAACGTAGGTACTGGTGAACTCGATAGATACCATACCGCGTCTCATAATTATTATAACAAACTTTTTTGCACTGGATAATCCAACGCAAACCATTCCATTTCGAACACACTACTGACTAATTGCTGACTCTATATTTAAGAATATATATAGAAACATTTATTTTTTAAGTTTTTTAACTTTTTTAACTTTAATTTTAAAATAAAATAGAGAAAGACTCAAATTGCATTTTTTGCAAATTGATTTTGTATGTCCATATGTATAAGTATGATGAAATAAAATAAAATTCATAAACTAATTCAAAACATAAGTATTTGCCCCCCTCCTCTCTCTCACTCTCTCTCTCTTTTTCTCCACTTCTGAAAAATACTGCATCTAAAGATATATTACCGTAAAGTATGTGAATTTTGTTACCATGTCGCATATCGACTCATAAATATATTATTTTACGAGGTAAAATATATTGTGAGGGATACGTTATGAAATGTTTAATGCCATGCATTTACCAGTTGCGAAGGGTGGAATTATGGACACAAATATGGATATCTACATCTAAGAAATTCGATCCGACAACAAAGCTGTATAGACTGTCGACATTTGCCAGTCAGTCTAAAGATTTTGGCGTTTGCTATACTTACCGATTGTGATCGCTTAAAGTATTTTTTATTATAATAATAATTTGATTTATTTCTTTATGGCAAATATCACAATGTTTACTTACAATTATTAAATTAATTAGGAAGCTTATATGGGTAGAAATGTAATATTTTTATTATTTACAAATATCATTTGTAAATAATAAAAAATAAAGAAATATCTATTAACCCTTAAATGCCACACCTCTCAAGAATCTCGTAAATGACACATGAGGTCTAAAAGACCCCAGCATGAAAAATGTCTTTTTACTCATTGATTTTTTTATATTTAGTTATGAAAATTATTTTCAATGTTGTTCAAGGCTTAGAAAAGAGAATAAAATGCTTATATTGTTAAAATTTCAATTTCAACGTAGTATAAAAAATTAAGTAAACTGAGTACTGCTAAGTGTACAAACGGGTAGGTCAATTATTCAACTATCATCAATGGGAGCATGAGCTCTATTTTTAGCAAGAACATTTGAAAACATTTCATTCTAAAGGGTCTGGGGTCCGCTGGACCCCGGGTGGCATTAAAGGGTTAAATACTTATAATATAAATATAGAAGCATTCTTTAATTGACAAAATTGCAAATTACTTTAAAGTTACGTTTAATTAATAATATTGTACGTTACACAAAGTTTACAGAAAACAATTACATGTATTGTGTGCTTCGCAGGTGATATAAAAGAAGATAATCTTTTAAAAAATGCGCATACTTAACTTGACTTTTATACTTTTAACGATATGTGGATGTTGGCGACCAAATTCTTGGTCATCACTGCATAAACGCGTAGCGTACACTACGTGTACGCAAGCATATAATAATCTTCTTACTAAACTCGATTGCTATACTATCGTAGAAAGATAAACATAAATAACTTCTTTTTATTCTTTTAACTAACAAAAACTACTGTTTTACCAGAATCAATATTAATTATAATATTCTATTGTTTCTGTTTACATTATTTCTTAAAATTATTTGAATGCAAATTACAATGTTATAAATTATTGTAATTACTATTTTTATCGTATCAGTTTGTATTACACTTGCTGCAAGATATTGTAAGCTGAATATGATGTTTTAAGCAACTGTAAAAAATAAATATTAGAAAATTTAATTAGAAATGATTTAAGAAAAAAATATACAAAAATAAACTAAAACAATTTATTTTACTTTATTTGGATAAATTTATAATATTGTTATTAATTGCAAATCCAATTAGATTCATTTAATCCTGTGATAAAACAAACATTTTATACTAACACCCACAAAAGAATCAAGATTCATAGAAATAATATAAGCGCTGGTGAATTCAATGGGTATTGCGCTACGTTTCATAATCAATAATAAAGCTTTCTTAACATTCTGATCCAACATATACCATTCCATTTCGAAAATGTTACTCACAAGTTGTCGGCTCTATATTTGTGATAAAATAATATTAAAATATTAACATCAATTGTATAACAAAAATAATTAATTTAATTATTATTTACTATACCTAATTGATTTATTTGTTTAAATTATTATTTATTCATAATTATTATTTTTAAAAATCACGTACCTTTAGTTTCACCTTATTTCCATACCAGCAATAAAAAAAGATTTGCGTCAGCATGCAGCACATATATAACGCCAGCTGAGCATATTTTGCATTAGTCGTGGTCGACCTAGTCAATTGATATAAATTGAAACA